CCGTAAATAAATATGGCGTCCACCTTGTCATATCTGCCTTATGGTTTGTGGGAATTCTTGGGAATTTTTGGAACATTCCTAGGATTGTGACATTTGTCAAATGCAACAAATTTCACTTATGGAAACATTTTGAAATATAAATTGGGATATTTGTCATAATTATGAATTTTAATTCTGAGATATTTTTCAATTTGAGCCAAGCATGAAAAAGCCCCTTAAAAGTAAAAAATAGCTTCAAGTCGGATGCCACATCTATTTCGGGATTTTTTTTGTTACGAACAAATTTATCCCCAGGTCGAGGTGCTTGAAAGTGATAGCACTAAATGCACAGAAGGATACTGGACATGGAGGCGCGCGAAGTGCGTCGAGATGGCTAATATACAATAATAATAATAGACTGATTAAAAAAACTTAGTTTTTCAAAACCGCCGATCGGTTTTCGAAAATAGGCTTAGAAAAATAAGTTTGGTACCAACGCTGATCGGACGGACGGACGGGCAAAAAAGGAGGACAGTCCGACCGTTTGACACCTTTAAGAGAGTTAAAAACTTTTTTGCATTACATTTCCTATCAAAATTGTGATTTTAATCGATTTTCCTTACGAACAGTTCTTGAAATCGTTCTCCGCCGAATATAAATTTTCTGTTGCCAGCTAAGATATATTATGACAATAGCAATTGTTTTTTTTAACTTTCAAGGCATTAAAAGATCACAAGCGCAAAAACGATTATGTGTTGAGACATAGTTGTAGCAAGATCAATCATCTGAAACATCTATATAGATTTTCGAAAACATATGTTCAAGGTCACTAGTGATTTTTTGTTGGCACATCTATAGTTCCCAATTCTACTAAATATGATGAAATTCAGATATTCCGGTTGAAATGGACTGTATCTATTAAAGACAGAGAGAAGTACTCAATTATATTGGAAAATGTGCATGTGTAACTCGAAAATGTTTGAGTGAAAAGTATTATAATTGAAAATTGTGATTTTTCGTATTTTTCCCACTTACGCAAATATGGAAAGCAACCCATTTTCAAGGGATTGATTACTTTGACCTCTATACAGTAGGGTGGATCGATTTTTAAAATCGTACAAATTCAAAAATGGACACTGCGCGTTCGTTTGGGCACCTCAAAAGAAGAATCTTTTGTTCTGGGACATATCCAGAGGAGTCGATTCCCACAATCCCCACTCAATTTTTATCTGGATCATTTTTTGATGATTTTTTCAGAATATTCGTTGAAATATCTCAAAAAATACCCCCTTTTCTTGCATTCAAACTATCACATTTGGATTTATCGCGAAAAATTACATAAGAATAAGTCCATTTGGAATCATTCCAACGCGATTTTGTCGCCTTCGTAGGTCAAAAATCGACAAAATATCCATTTTTTGGCTACTTTTCCGCAAAAACTCACCTCTGGACCCTCGAAAAACCTCAAATGCATGGCCAAAATTGACTTTATTTAGTCTAATTTTTGACGAGGAATTCAAATCTGATCAATAGATGCACATAAAATAGTGATTTGGTGGCTTGAGAGGCTCAAATATATTCGAAAATGGTCAAAAAGTCGCCATTTTACGCTATATATAGCCAAACAAGTTCGTTTTTTCCGAATTTGAAACTTCTGAAGAGCTATTTCTACTTCATTTTTGACGTAGAATTGATTTTCGGTTTCATTTGTATAGATTTATGTGATTTTTGTGTCGTAAACTGCGTTTATTCTAAGCAAAATGAGAAAATTACGTCCATGAGCTTCGGTTTAACAGTGATATTACCTCACTGAGCAAACAATTTCTACCTTTGCTGCCTTTAAAATTCTAGTGTGATCCCTCACAAACATTTTGAGTGCCCATATGACCAGATCAAGTGATGTGTTCATATATTTCTGGGCTCATATTCGGTTGGTTCAATTTCAGATCTTGAAAAATCGACTTTCGTTCAAAAAAATTCCAAGTATACACATTTCATGGTTAGTGTCTTGGTGGAAAGTTATTTTTTCTCAAAAATATGGGCAGTCTTCTCAGATAATCTTGGCACTCAAAATGTTTGTGAGGGATCACACTAGAAGTTTAAAGGCAGCAAAGGTAGAAATTGTTTGCTCAGTGAGGTAATATCACTGTTAAACCGAAGCTTATGAGCGTAATTTCCTCATTTTGCTTAAAATAGACGCAGTTTACGACACGAAAATCATAGAAACCTATACAAAATGAAGACGGAAATCAATTCTACGTCAAAAATCAAGTAGAAATAGCCCTTCAGACGTTTCAAATTCGAATAAAACTGGACTAGTTCAGCTAAATGTAGCGTAAAATGGCGACTTTTTGGCCATTTCCGAGTATATTCGAGCCTGTAGAGCCACCAAATCACTATTTTATGTGCATCTTTTGATCAGATTTGAATTCCTCGTCAAAAATTTGACTAAATAATAGGGTGGATCGATTTTTAAAATCGCAACAAAAAAAAACCCTGGGTGCGCGTTCGATTTGGCACCTCAAAAGAAGAAACTTTTGTTCTGGGACATATGCCGAAAAGTCTATTCCCACAATCCCCACTCAATAACGAAGGCAAAATCGCGTTGGAATGATTCCAAATTGACTTATTTTTATGTAATTTTTCGCGATAAATCCAAATATGATAGTTTGAATGCAAGAAAAGGGGGTATTTTTTGAGATATTTCAACGAATATTCTGAAAAAAATCATCAAAAAATGATCCAGATAAAAATTGAGTGGGGATTGTGGGAATCGACTTTTCTGGATATGTTCCAGAACAAAAGTTTCTTCTTTTGAGGTGCCTAAACGAACGCGCAGTGTCCATTTTTGAATTTGTACGATTTTAAAAATCGATCCACCCTACTATACTAGTACAGGCTTGTATTTTTATGCTCAAGTCTGTTAAGAAGCGTCCAGTCTGAACTATCGGTGCTCACTTGATACAAGAATCACACTTTTTCACATTTTGTGTGTGAAAAAAACTGCGGGCTTTACTTACTTTACAGAACTGTTAGGAATATTTTTTTGATTAAGTTTTTGCTGTGGGCTACTTATGGTCACTACATTTCATTTCTATGGTGTGATTTGCAATTTTCAAATTTACAATTATTTTTGACAGGTATGCATTTTTCAATATTAAAGCCTATAAATCCTCATCCGTTGCAAATAAAGCACTGGTTACTGAAGCAAAATTCTAATACTTCATCAGGGCTATGCAACGCACTGTACCAAAATGTATTAAAATGTTTGCAGGGTCGAAAAAGAACATTTCGAAAATTAGTATTTTAACAGTACTTTAATATAGGGGTATCAACAATATTAGCCCATGTGGCGAAAAATCGACATTATTGATTCATACGCCCAATAGATGTAATAAGTAAATCCATGTGAAAATGTTCAAACTCATTAATACATCTCGACCATTCCACACGAAATCGACCAAGAATTGGATCTACCATCTCAGAATTAGCTGAAAATGAGAAAACCAAAATCTTGGAGCTGTAAGTGGCCTATATTTTCGAGTTCACCCAGTGTTAATTTTTCGAAAACGTAAACGGCTTTTATCTTTTAGCGAAACAAACAAAAAAATACCAACCTCTCTACCAATTCAGCGTTTTGTATGTAAAATCTTCATTTTGAGTGAATTTTTCAATGAGAAACCCGATTTGAGACCAAAATATAAAAAAATGAGTATTTCATTGCTCATAGATTTTCAAAAATAATTGCAGATTTCTAACATAAAAGTATCAAATACGCATATTTAAGATACCTCCTACAAAATTACCGTTTTTTGAACCAATATATTTATACAAAACGCAAAATTGAGCCAAAAATGGTAGGAAAGTTGGTTTATTTTGTTTCGCTTCAAAATAAAAACCTTTTACGGTAAAAACCTGGAGAAGGCATTTTTGAAGTAGAAAAAGTGAGAAAAATATCACGAGTTGAAAACATAGGCAGGAACAGGGCCATTTTTCGACCTTTTAGACCCATCAGAAGGGGTTGGGATAGTTCTAGATCGATTTCTAGTCGGAAATTACGTAGAAATAGAATCATAACATCCCATTATAGGTGGGTTTTTTATTCCACAAATGTGATTTTGTAAGCAAAGAACGTGTGAAGGCTTTATACCATTTGTGCTTTTTGCAATAATATGGAGCCGCCATGATTATTTACCAATCAATAGTACTGAAGTACAGTGTATTTGAGTCCGTACCTTCTCCACTACTGCTTGAAAGCAGAATGGTATAAAAATCTGCAAGAATTTACGCCTCGTTCTTTCGACCATTCATTTGTTCTATGAAGAAATATCGATTTCAGACCAATTTTATAAGTAAACAGATGTTCAAATGGTCATATTTTTATGTATGATTAAAACATCGTAAGAGGCCATTTTCGACCATTTTACCCACAAAAACGCTGAAAAATGACATATGATTCACTTTCCGATGCCAAAAAAAACGCATTTGGCCTGGTCGATTCAAAAGTTTTGAATTGCCCGTTTTATGCGGCGCGACATGGGCTATCTTTTAACGCGAATAGAACATTTTAAAAAACATCACCTTTTGGAGATATTTCCTTTTTTATACTTTGAACCCATTTTTGGAGGCCCCAATGTGGTCAAAGTGGGAAGGCAGCTTCGCGGTTTTTGTAGCCCCATCGATTCCCTTTCCAACGGTACCAAAATTTGGCAATGTGTCAACTCAGTTGGATTTCAGTTGACGCTAACTCATTTTTTTTTGTTTTTCTTCATTCTTTGGAAAAATTAACACTGGTTGAACTCAAAAATGTAGGCCACTTACAGCTCCAAGATTTTGGTTTTCTCTTTTTCTATCGAAAACAAGACTCCAAACCAATTTTCAGCTAATTCTGAAATGGTCGATTCAAATGTTGGTCGATTTCGTGTGGAATGTTCGATCTATATAATTGGATTATATTAAAATTTTGCCGCAATATTACCATATTTGATTAAATAATTTATTATTTAAATTTTATATTATAGATATGAAACCACCAATGGAATAAAAGTTCGTCAAACAAGTTATATAACTAACCAAGGTATTGAGATAATAATAAATATGTATAATAATGATATTTAACGACTTTGATGATTATTTTCGAAAAAAAAAACATATTTTATTTCTAGGTAGAGTAGTGGTTGGCTATTATTCATACCTCGGACCAGATGGAAAAATCTACACTACGCATTACACAGCAGATCAGCATGGATATAGAGCAACTGGGTCACATCTGCCGGTTCAAGAGACTGCTGTACAACCTTTACCATTCGTTTCGAGTACACCAGATCCAATTCCGTTTGTTTCAAGCACACCAGCACCGTTTATTTCGAGTACACCTGGTCATTTCGGACCTAGTACACCAGCTCCATTTGTGTCATCATCTCCATTTAATGTGCCATCTCCAACACCGTATCGAGGATTTATAGGATATTCTCCTACTACCACATCACCTATTGTCTCTTCATCAACACCAGTTGCATCTACAGTTTCGCCATTTTCAGTGTCAAGACGCCCGAATTTTCCAATTTATGGACAGCGAACAGTTCCATTCCAAGGTTATGCCTATACAAACCCAAGAATAAACACACCGTATTCAGTCGTATCGCAACAAACACCAGCGCCAATATTCTTTCCATCTTCTTCAGAGACACCACTGAATAGATTTTCATATGCAACGGCGCCATCAAATATCGATTCCAGGATTACGACTACATTTTCTCCTCCACCACGTTTAAACAATCTAGATGGTATAACTTCATCAAGATCTCCATTGAACGATGATATACCAGTTCGATTCAAGCAATATATTCCACCTGCACCAATTGTGTCGTCAACTCCAAGACCTTTTGACAGTTTTTCGCCACACCAACCCGATACAATTTTAATTACACCCAAACCATCTATCAATCAACCTGTACTGCCAAATAGTTTATCAGTTAATCAAAATCTCTTACCACCATACCTTTCTGTTGGTCCACTGAATTCTCCACAATTCTCTGGCCGGCATAGTTTTAATACCAATTTTCGAGAAAATGCAAATTTTATTAACAGTCCACCATACGAATTCAATGATCAAGTCAGGCCGCAAACTGTCGCCCCCTTAACCGTAACTAATTTAAACTTTCGTAAGAAATGAAATTTTAATGAAACAGCACTAAATGAAAAAAGTCATTAATAAACTAAAAAAACAGTGTTTATGTTCAATAAAATGCAATTAAATCGAAGAATTCATACTCAATAAAACATTTTATTCATCTTTATTATTGTAGTCTTTAGCTTGGATTATAAATATGGTTTCTTATTATCTCGCAGATTTCAAAGAGAGTGTGATCAAAAGTTATAATCAAAATCAGGGAGTTCCAATGGCGGTAGGTCACTTGATTCTGGCAAAATAATTTTCCGCTCTTCCCCTGTTAGAGAACCACGTCGGTTCTCCGTGGGTGACTCATCAACCTTGGTAGAAGAGTCGGATGATGATTTATTACTCATTGGAATTGATGCTTTTCGTTGATGATAACGATCTTTTTCCAAGGACTTAACACGATCGCGTAGCACTTCTAGCTCATGCGATGAGTCATCCACACGAGAGACGAGATTAAACACCAATATGTGCAATTGGTGGTTTAAAGTGTGCATCTCTTCAATGACTGTATTATCCGATTTGATTTTTTTCAATTTTACATCACTTGCGTTTTCGACTGTCACTTTTATGCCTTCAGTATTGTCTTCATGGATGCCAAACAGAGATGTACCGATTTTTTCATTCAATGATTCCAATAGGGAGTCTGATTCTTCAAGCGTTTTGAAAATGGACATTTGTAAATCACAAACACTTTCAATACGATCTTTAGCCATTCTCTGTTCTAAAAAACTGGCATTTTTCAATCGTTGTTGCTCCATTGCCAATTTATATTTTTCATACTGTGCTTTCTTTAATAGCACTAATTCGATATTTTTTTGTTGTAAATCACGCTGTAACTTGATTGATTCAATAATTTTCGCATTGTTTGTGGCCATTTGCAAGGCCAGAGTTTCGTCCAATGCTGCTGCAGCCTTTCGATAGCTATCAGTTGCTTCCTCAAAACGTAGATGTCTCAAATGACTATCTGCTCGTCGGCTATGGTAGTGTGCCTGAAAGAACAAAGAGCTGCAAATTAAGTACACATTTTTCTAGTCTAAAATTTAACTACGTACGTACCATATTTAATGATGAATTATCCATTTTCGAGATCTATTCGTTGATTTTGATGTACGAAATTCACTTATTTGAACCTGCACCGCGCATCCAGTTCGATTATGTTTAGTGCGTTCTTTGTTTTTGTTTTTGTATTGTGATTTGTAAAAACCCAATTGTTTTTCTTCTTGGTTCGATAGCGCTAAGAACGTCAATGTCAAGTTATATGTATGTTTCACGCATACACATGAACAACTGAACTTTTGAAACGCGCGGAAATATGTTGCTTTTCTGAATGAAATGTCATATATGCATGAGGACATCTGAAAAATCAAGCTATTTTGCTTTTTGCGATCAATATAATGCCCAAAGCACGACACAAAATTTATCTGAAAAAAATACTGGAATTCAAAAGATATATTGACTTACTGAACTTTTTCATTTATTTTGCGTAAACACTTCAAAATGAATGTACAAATATACATATTATTTATAATGTATTTATTGTTTTTTTTTATAATAATCTAATTTCTTCATTGTTTTAAATTTATGAATCTTATGTTATCTAATACCTTGAATAGTGTATTTTATATTGATGACGGAACGATTTCACTCAGAATACAACAACAATAACGCATAGCCATTATTCTGGATATAATCTATCTAAACTAGAAAACCTCTTCATATATTTATATTGATTTTGTCGTCAAAAACATTACAAAGTGTGCTTGTTGTATCTTGACATTTGTCTTGTTCATTGTGGTTCTTCTGTTGCTCAAATACATACGAGTTTATGCGCTCTTCTATTCGCCAGGAATTGAATCTTTTAAATCCATTGAATCTCCGCTTTTTTGGAGTCTCCAAAAATACGTCTTCAAAAATCGTCTCCAAGTTCAGTCTTTTGTTTGATCTGGATAGCGCAGACGGTGGTGTATTAATTTGTGCGGTTATTTCCTCCAGTGAAATCCGTTCATCATCATCATCATATGCCATTGAATCGCCAACTTGTGTCAAATTTTTGGTAATCTTTTCGTTTGTGGCATAGTCACCGGCACAAACAATTTGGTCGCTAAAACGCGATAAATCTTCAATTGATGAGATAGGTGAAATGCTGAGATTAAACAGTGATATTGGCTCATTCACCATTGGCGATATAGATTGTCCATTTGGTGATGCAGATTTGATTGAAAATGTGGGAAGTTCATCAAACATTGGCTTATGTGATGTTTGCATAAACCCAATGCTGTCATCAATAGACCAAGAACCTGAAGAAGTTATAGACGCGTCGCTATTCGGACTTGAGTCATCTGAATCGGATGAATTTTCTCCGTTCTCAACATTGGTTCCTTTGTTTGATGTTCCATGTTCCAAATGACTATCGAGTGTCCCTTCGATGAATTCCGTCATTTTCCTTTATGTTCACGCTTTTCGTAGCTGTAAAGCAATTAAATTAGTATCTAGTGCTTTGTACGGATACTTATTAATATTTTTCATTGAAAATAAAATATTATACAAACCTCTCAATATTTGTCTACGATTTCACTTGGTGGTGCAGTGAAAAACTGTGAATGCGAATGTTTTAAACTTCTCTTTTGTCGGTCATTTGTTTAGTTCTCTCTTTGAATTGCACAAAAATTCGTCTTTTCACCTTCGGTATATACTTTATGTCTGCTATTCAGCCATCTTTATGTTTACGCATGAGTTTGAATGCACTCGTATTGTCTGCGTGTGCGTCAAAATTGATAAATAAAACGTCGGTTTACGCAGATTATTGCTTGTACGTGACTTTTGTGCAAACGTCTTGAACAAATGAAACGAATGTATATTGAATGCAACCGACCACCATTTTTAAATTTATGCTTACTTAATTATTAATTATTATCATCCAATTTTGTTTCATTACAAATTTGAACAAGAAACAAAAAATCGAAGAATCCTGAAATAAAATTAGAATCTACTACCAAAGCAGTCAAGAATTTGAAAAAAAAAACATGCTATCGTCGTCTTATCGAGTTAAGAAACACAATTTTATGAAATTTAGTGGTTCACATTACAGCTTTCATAACATTATTTGGGGTTTATGGAAAAAATGCTCACAATCCAATATTTTGTGCTTTGGAAGCATTATATATTTTCATCTGTGGATTATCATTCGAATCAACGCTCAGTTTTAATTTGTTCAGTCGTTCTTCAAGCAACTCATCAATGACATTCGTAATTGTTGTTGGTGAGTTAGGCTTTGACAGCCCTTTAGATGGGTTACTTCTGTATTCGGTAGTGATTCCTTCGGGTTGCTGTGGCTGGGCATCTGAACGGGAATCGAGTTGTTCATCATCCTCCAACAAGTCCATGAGTTCGTTTTCTAGCGTTGCGTCGTCTGTGCCATCGTTTATAATATCATTGAATTGAGCTCCACTCAATGCAAACTGAATATCAGCATTAGTTTCCAGAATTTCTTTAACATCGGCCAGGGCGTCTTCCACATTATCAACAGTGATATTTTTATCACCAAGTGCATTTTTTAATGTTGTCGTTCCCATTTTGAAAGCTTCGACAATCTTTGCGTTTTGTTTTGTTTCATCGATCTGAAGTAGCAGTGTTTGAATTGTGGTAAGAGCATTAGACGTTTTCACTAGAATACAAATCGAAAAATGAATTGAAATGAAGTTGAAATTTGGTTTGTCATTATAACTAACTAAACTAACCTAGATTCCTTTCAAGTACATGCTTTTTACGAAGAAAACTTTTTGCCAATTGCTTCTTCTTGTCCCGAATGTATTGTCTAACCAATGTATCCGTATTGTTGATGTCTACCTCGATGGCTTCAACGGATTTCGTTAGAGATTTTTCCATTTTATTTAGTGTATAAATTGATGTATCTAATGGTGAAATTGGCTCAACTGTACAATTTGAAGCAACTGCAAATTTGTAGAGTGTGACTTCTTGTTTATCAATTTGAGTCTTTTGGATCGACGCTTTCTGTTGACAATACAAATAGTGCAGAGCCACTTCAATTCCATCTAAATTAAAGAGCTTGTTTTCTGTGAGTTGTTTAATCAAGTCATCTTTGGAAATGATAGTGTGACATTCATTGGTTGCATTGAATGTGACCAGTAGTTTTTCAGCAATGACCTAATAATGAAAACGAAGATATTTATTGCTTATGATTAGAAAAAACACCAATAATACAACCTTGGCTACTTCAATGATCACATATTCACTACTTTCATCAGAATTTCCATTGTTTGTTGTTGAAATTACTCTTTCTTTGACTCGGTCAAATCCCCAGCGCAATGGTGCTTTCACCAGTTTGCTAACCGCCCAGCCAGCCCAAGAAAGAATTGGTGTCTCAAGCATGAATTGTGTCTTTGCTTTGACTAAATTATCGGCTAGCAACAGTTCTTCAAGAACTGTGTCCAAGCAATATGGTTTTTTTCCCTTTCGTTGAAATGCTGTTCGTAGTTCGCCAAGTGATATCGTTGGGTTGCCCTTGGTCATGCAATATTCCTGTATTAGATTCTTCCAAAATTTCATTTTTGTCTCGAAGTTTAACGGGTTGACGGACTTGTCACGGAATGGGGCAAATAAATTTTCCATTCTCTCGTCTTCCTGCCAACATGCTGGATAAAAGTCATCTGGTAGACTAGGGTTGTTCCCATTAAGCGTTAGCTGGTCTAACCCGTTGTTGATTTGAGTTTTTTCAATACTTGCCATTGCACTGCATTTAATTTGTAGCGAAAAAAGGTTCGAAAACAATTATTGGAGCAAAAATATGCCACTGGCAGTGAGTGTATCACTGGTCGACCGTACTAAAAACTACGCAAAAACAACTGGTGTGAATAGCGATATGTTGGTTTTTTTCTATTCTGTATGTTTTTTTCTTGTGCTTTGGATTAAATGTCAAAATGTCCATTTGTTTTGGTGGCAAAGTATGTTTTATGTTCTGATGGCGTTCGTGTGTGCGTACGTGACACTTTATTTTTGTTTTTAGTTTCACTGAAAACGATGAAATTCCGCAGATGGCGTTTTATCGACAGGTAATCAAAATTTGTAAGGTTTTGATAATCGTTTGTAATACAATGTTTATTGAAATCATATAATGAAGGAAACTTATAAAATTATTTAATGAAACGCAATTAACGTAAAGCAAATGTCAAACTCAAATTCTACTACACACAAAATTCATAATGCTGAAGTTCAAAATTAACTATCCTCATCGAGGTTCACAAAAACCACCCGTCTCGTAGTTATGTTTGGCATTTTATTGTATTGATTTATGCCCGAATCATCATTATCTCCGTCATCATTCATTTTTGCACCCACCATAGAGGGATACTTGCATTTGGCGAGCGAACTTGGTGAGTGAGCTGTTGTTTCAAGCAACTGCTGTATACTTTGGCGATGGGAGTTTATTGCCTTGTGAGCCATTTGCATTTTATCAATTAAATCATTTTCATCAATATCATTTTCGACAAATTTGTTCACCAGTTTTTTTGCATTTCTCTTTCGCATTTTTTGCACACTGGCAGATTTTGGCCGAGAAAATTTCGTCGTCTTTCTGGACCCATCCCCATCGCTCTCATCGAAAGTATGGTCTGATTGGTAAGATGATAAGCTAGTTGCACTGCTCGCTGATGCTAGTTTTCCTTTAGCAATACGGTCAACTTCATTTCTTAGTTGTTTCCGAGTTTTTTCGAATGATTTGTGTGCTTTCCCGATTTCCTTTCTTTCATCGACCAAGTCTTGATTTATTTCATAAGATCGGGGTGTGGCCAAACCAGCGGAATCCATTTCCACCCCAAATTGCAGCAGTCTATGTTCAAATTCATGGAGAGCTACGTCTTTAGAGATTGTTTTTTTAAGTGATTTAACATGATTCTTCGTTTCCTTTCTATCATTCTGATCACATCCATTTCTTTGTTCATTCTGTGATATTGTGTATACTTCCGCCTCACAGGTTAATTTCCTTCCACCATCATCATCTTCGCTATAGCTGGATGAGTCATTGGCCACCATGCATTGCTCTATTTTGTGAAGTTCCGGCAATTTTTTATCTCGACATTTTTCAGAAGCTTCTACATCAATTGGTTTGTCTGCAAAATCAATTATAGTTTCAGCCTGACATTGACTGATACTTTCCTTCATTATATCACTCGATATTGCAGTATTTTTGCTAGGATCGTTTTGTTCCAATGATTTTTCAATGATTTCTTTAATCGTTTCCTGAATATTATCCATATAAGACTTCTGACGCTCATCTATATTTCGAAATGATTCGATGAACTGATGTTGACTCTCCATATACATAACTTCGAATGCATTAAATTTTTGTTCAATAACAACAATCTTATCATTAGTTTGAGTCAAACTAGCAGAATTTTCGGATTTGTCTGCTATTGTTGGATGCCCTGATTCTATTTGTGGCAATTCAGTGCATGTTTTTGCCTCTAATGAATTCTTCAAATCAACGATCTCTTTCTTTAGCTCATTTATCGTATCATAGGCGCTTTGAATCAGTTCGCTGTCCATATTTTTGCTATCTGTAATGATCATTTAAAGTTTATTGTATTATGATTCATGAAAAATAATTCTTTTTATTACCATTCAAAGCAATTTTTGTATCGTTCTGATTCTGTTGAATGTTCAGTTCACATTGTATTGCTATGCTTGATGAATTGGTTTTTGATTCCATTTTTTGGGAGCATACCATGCAATCAGCATTAATTTCATTGTCATTATTGTTATTATTACTATTATTTTCATTATTGTTGTGGATATTGCTAATCGATTGCATTGATAAATTGTTTATTACTTCTTTTGGTGACACATCTTTTTCATTATCGTCGCTCAATTCATGTTTTTCACCAATGGCAGTATGTTTGCGTTGCTGATGGGATTTCAATGAGTCCAATGTGAGGAAGTTTTTAGTACACTGATCACATGGAAATAACGACGATGGACCTTTGTCATCTTCTGCTCCATTTTTTTCCTTCAACAAAGATTGAACTCGTTCTTGAGCCCTGTAATGTTGCTCTTCAAGGCATTTATAATTGTGTTTCAAGTTTGAATATTTCTGTGATTTGTATGAGAAATGAGAAACATACATTAAAAAATAATACAAATTCAAATAACAAGTTAACTCACTTTTTGTATATGGTTGAACGCGGTTCTAAGGTCATACAGGGTATGAGACATAAATTGCTGACAAAAGGTCATGTATTGCAAACTCATTTGAGCCAAGCGAAACAAGGACGATACTGCTGGGTCAATTGCAGCTGTTCCCAGTATGGACTGCATTGGTGCTTCAATGATTTTCGGAGTAATTTTTTCCAGAAATTCATAATCTTGATTTTCAATCACTTTATTAACATCAACACAACCCAAAGCTTTCCAATCTAATTTTCGATTCTCAATGTCGCGAAACTTGAAACCTGATTTCAATGCAATTTCGCTTAGTCTATAATTATTCGGCCGAGCTGAAAGTGGTTCTTTGAATGAAAACATTCTGATTTTAACTTGATAAAAACAGTTGAATCTAATGAGACGAGACGAGACAAAATTATGTGCTGTTATCCACTTGCAACTGATGTTTTGACAATTGTGAACGCACAATTGTTACATAGCAACCGTAACGCACACACCGAACATAGCAATTGACTATCGTGTATTTAAAAAAAACATCAATGACCAAAGGTATATCCTTACCAATAAAATCACCCACACATTGTAACATATCAAAGTAAAAAAAATACTTAATATTCAATGTGCATTTGCCAATACATTTATTTTGAAATGGAATCCAAAACGAGATCATCATTACGTTTGCGTTTTAATGACAAATGACGAAATCTTCATCAATAAAAAAACAATTGAATGTCGAGTTCGTTCGTTATAAAACAACCTGAATTTTTTTGCTTCGATACGTTTTACACAGTATTTATACTCTTTTTACTTTAACTTCTAGCTAACTCGACAAATGTCCAGTTTGAAGAACTTTGTAGAGTTTTCCCTGCTCAAACTCCTGAACTTCAAGAATTCAATGATTTGAAAGCTTCTAAACTAATTGATATGAAATTGTATTTGTTGGGTTTTAGGAGTGGAAATCTTTGTTGACAGGTTTTCTTCTCTTTCTTCCTCATTCCGCTTTCGTTTTTCTACTTTATTTACAAACAAAGCCCAGATGTGAATGTATACAAACAAACAAGCATATATACAATTATTCAATATTTATATACATGTGAGCATCGTGAACATAAAAACTTTTCATACGCAGTTTATCTGCAAGTGTTCAACTTGATTCCAATAACGCAAAATTCTGTGAATAAATACTAGTATTGATGTATTCAATGCAAGGAAGAGAGGTTTTATAATAAAACTTGTACTACTTTTCCGTACACACCGTGTCAAGGGAAAGTAAAGGAATTGGTCCCGAAAACTTTTTTCGCAAAATTGGTTTAGATCATCATAAAAACTCATAAAACGCGTAGAAAACCACTTTTTGAGACACTTTTCCGTTCGTGTGCCGTCGTCGTCGTTGTCGTCGTTGTCGTTGTCGTTGTCGTCGTCGTCGTTGGTGTTTGTTAACACGATAACTCAAAAAATAATTGATATAATCAAAATCTGGAAATGCCAAAAGTTTTGTATTCGAAAAACTTAGTTTAAGTTCGAAGATGAGCCATTTTCGAATTGATCCTGGCCCTAAGAAAAACCCCAACAAATTGACACTTTTGTATGGGAGGTAAATTTTGACTAAAATTACCGATTTTCGGACAATTTTGTATGGGAGGTAATCGATTCTGATTGGCTTCAAACTTTCTGATGTTTCATTTTTTGGAGAAAAAATAAGATTTTTAAAGTTTCATGTTGATCGCATTTGCAAAAGTTTGATTTTTTGTCCTCAATTTTTGTCGACATTTTCTTGGAAAAAATTGAGGGCCAAAAACCAAACTTCTGCAAATGCGATCAAAATGAAACTTTCAGAATCTTATTTTTTCTCCAAAGAATGAAACCTTAGAAAGTTTGAAGCCAATAGGAAACGGTTTACGGGTACCTCTCACACAAAATTGTCGAAGTTTTAGTTAAAGTGACCGATTTTTCAATTTATTTTCTTTATTATATTCTCACTGCCTTTATTTCAAGAAAATTCACAAAAAATAACCAAAAGTACCTACGGACAACGCAGGCCAACGGTACGGAAAAGTTCGGGATTACCAATGTAATTCTTTTTATTTCGTTGTAGTAACTGCGACGGAATAATAAACGACACTGTATTGTTATATCATAGTCGCTGTAGAAATACCGGCCGGCAATTCTTTTCGTTTTAAAATAAACGAGAATTATCATAATATATCTAAAGGCAATGTTTTAACATACATCCAGAATCTTCTGAAGGTGACATTGTGTGACATATAGATGTACACTACTTTCATCTTTCGAATCCTTTTTCTTATTAACACTTATTCATTTCGCTAAAGTTGCGTATTTGAAGAATCCATCTTCTTTCCGGAGGCTCTTCTACGTTATGGAAAATTCCAAATTTGGTAATGCAAACCGTTTATTGTTGTAATAGCTTCAAGATATTCGAATACAATGAATACTGAAGAAGTAAAGAAGGAGGCGTCCCGCTTCATTCTGTTGAAATGTAGCGTCTTTATTTACCAAAAAGTTTGAAGGGCGTCCAAGAGCAAATGGATTGAGAGTGTAATTTCGTTTTTTGTATGCTTATAAATAGACGTAACAGTAATGACTCGGTGCATTGTTCAAGATTTTCGGTAACTATCAATGACATTTCATTACTATATACAGTAGAAATTTGTTTTATTTTTTATTATGTCAAATTTAATTTCTACACTTTGAAACAATTTTAGAATACACATGCACTAAAAAAATAATATTTGTATATACAGACAAACGTTACTTGGCTTCAATCGAAGTTTTATTGAAATTGAATTATTCTCATGATCAATTTAGTGCCATATTAATGTATTACAAAAAAAGTATCCAGACATCTCTGCAGCGCAAGGGCGAATACATACAATTTATACACCAAGTACATAAGCTGTCTCACATAAGGCTTACTTTTATAAATAACGGTTTCAACTTGACCTTGACAATGAATTATATTGTATATATATTATATTCATAGTAGTATTTTTAGGGTAACAGAATAACTCGTATATTTAGGATGGAAAAATCCAGCTGCCTTATATATAGACTCACTGGTATTATCATGTATTGGTCCTGCATTTTTATGGTAATTGAAATGATAATTTGTTTGCAACGCAATTGAGATTATACATTTCTTAATTTTAATTTACTTTGATATTGGAATCGTTTTTTAAAATATTTAAAAATAATATTTTGTAGCGAAAGTTCTAGAATAGTATTGTCATTTCAGAAGTTCTGTTTGTATTTGCAAAACGCAATATTACTCTTTTTTTAATATTACATAAGATATTTGTTTATATGTTAAAATACTTGATGATTTTCTTCCTCCTAACTATTTGCCCATTCTCGTGCCGGCAAAACACAAATTTTGTCGATTCGGCCTTCCTCTTTTATTTTTCATCATTCAAGTATATAAATAAACATATAGGTATGTGTATATCATATATGAATAAAATTTAATACATTCAACGCGTATATATAAATGCTCTGCATGATTATGGGAATGGAATGGTGTTTACGACGAGAAGAGTGGCAGTTTCACTCACACTCCATCGAAATTTCGAGATATATATAGAAGCTTCCAAAAATTAGAACGCAATTGAGTGCGCGTCGTCACGTACACCGCGGATATAAATAGCGGAACCAAAGGGGCTTGTGTATCAGTCGAACGCTGAACGTAAGACAAATCGCCAAGTTTAATGAAAGAAGAGAATTTGAAATAAAGGCTAAGTCCAGTTAAAAGACTTGGTGAATTTCCTAAAAAAATATTCACAGTACGACTCCTGAACAACTTAGTTTCATTTATCTTCGCGGAAAAAACTATCAAATTGTAAACTAAACATTTTCGATAAGAGCTAAAATTATTTCAAAAAAGAAATCAAAACAAAAATATAAGTTGATAGAATGTGACTGTAAACGTTGTGGTTTTTTCATTCGATCAAACCACACTCGTTAAAGCTGAATTGGACATTCCCAATTTATTGGTGAAATGGCAAGTCTTGATGCCGACAGCGAAACCGATACCGAATCAGCACCGTGAAAAGTGTTTGAAATTGCATGTTTTTTGTATTTAATTAAAACAACAAAACAACAGAGGGTAGAGCGGCTATGGCACACATCACATCGCGTTAAAATGTAACGTAACTTGAACCACAAAACTGTTTCGATCGAACACACACCAAGGTAAAGACGGTTCCCGAAGGAATGCGACTACAATTCCGACCTGGTTGCAGAATCATCAGACAAATCAGTGGAAAAACTGTAAGAAACTATCATTGTATTTGAAAAACATATTTTTCCGACCTGCGTAAGTTTCAACATAAATAAGCAGCCGCATGTTGAAATCATCTTACGATTAACTACACTCCACTTTATGCACCACGAGCTTGTGCAGCGTACGAGTTTTTAGTCACGTAGGCTCATATTCAATTTATGCGCTATCTACCATCGTTAGCGAAGCAGAACGATTGTCGTGCAACAAAACTAATACAGAATTTAAAAAATTGTTCTTCTAAAACCAAATACAATTAATGAGTTAGGAATGTAAAAACGCCCATTCAGAAAAAGAATTTAGACATAAATACATTGATAATATCGACCAAATACGAGAGGAAAGTTGACATCAAAGAGCAACGAAGCGGAGACTTCAGCAGTTCTATATTCCTTTCTTCAACACCAGAAAAGTTGCAACTTCACTTGACATGGTCCATCATCGCTGATCATCCAAGTTATATCGGAAAAATTCCAATATTAATATTTGAAATAAAGAAAACGAGTCAAGCGAGTAAATATAATATTTAGGAAAATAAAATTATCCATTCAGCATTGTGAATCACTATATCACTAACTCGGCGTTAGTCTCAAAATTCGTTTGAAATAAACTATTTAAATTTCACAGAATCGTACTTTTGAAGTTTTAAGCAAAATCTATCTACAATCGTTGTAAAAATCACTGCAGTTCATTTATTCAGTAAAAAAAACAAGAAGTTTCCAAGAGTTTATTGTTGACTTGTCCGTTTTCTTGTCCGAAATTATTGAAATTACACTTCATTTCTCATATAATCTGGTAAAACAACATCTTAGTCACATTGAATAGAGAACGTGAATTCATCGAACAATTTGCAAATAGGCCACATTTTGTGCCAAAGTTCGAATCAAATATAAATTAATACATTTTTTAAATAAAAGATCTAGTTGCTCACACAGTAACTAGCACACATATATTTCAAGGCAAATTAACTGGGCGAACGTTTTTACTATTTATTCTTCTTTTCAAATTACAAATTCAAATTTGTAACTTTAGCTTTTCTGAAATTGAAATTGAAATTGAAAATTGAAAAAAAGGAGTTGTCGTACTATTATATCATAAACTTCACACTTATATTTTAGCAAAACTTTTCTTTTCTTTTTTTGATTCAATCGGACATTTTTGATTGGATCAAAAAAAGAAAAGAAATGTGAGTCTTTTTTACTTGGTTTTTTCTTTCATCATTTTTCTTTTCATTCACTATTAAAATCAGTTGAGTACCGTTGCAATCAAATCAATTCCTTTTTTTATTTTTCAGTTCTTGAATTTAAGAATGTTATTATTTTCTATTCTGACAGTACTTCATTGATATAGTAAGTAAGCTGCTTGACTAGCTTCGCTGGCGTAAACCAACAGCGAGCTGCTTCTGTAAAATCACAGGCAGTTTCGTCACGGTATACAGGGACTTCCACCGAACGATCTAAATCCAACTTCATACCGGCCCTGACAAATACTCGCATATATCGTAAAAATTAATATCGGCTCATTCTACAATTATTGGACACCAAATTTTAACTTATTTGGTGATTTTTTTCTGTATTTTTTTCTGATAATCCCAGAGCCATCAGTACAGATAATATTCGGAAACATTTTTTGGTTGCCTTTTGTTGAGGCTTTCAAAAAAATTATAATTTAAAAAAAGTGTCTATCATCAGTCCTGATCAATACAAATAATTTATGAACTAACTGTTCAAAATTTTCTGAAGAAAATCCAGCCTCGGATCATCCAAATACGATTGAAGGAAATGAAAATTTCGCAGAAAATGCATTTAGACAAGAGTTTCTACGAAAGATCTCGATATACGCACGCACATACACACAATATATAGGAACTACTTCATTCCAAATGATATCATTGCGTTGTCAACAAACTAATTAGTTTAATTTCAAGGTGGGGTGGGTGGGAATATTTTCAAAAAGAATTTCAACAACATTTTACCAACACATTATTTTTCACAAATAATATTTTTTGGACAAACGTTTCATCTGAGAAAGTGTCCAAAATTTCAATTTTCATCAGAAGAAATAATAAGGCAAACAATTTAATGTGAAAAATAACATGAACTTCATTTATTCACTCAGCTTCAAGATTATTTTAACCATTCAATCTTGACTTCTCAAAAACAACATTTTATTCAAGGTGGGAAAGAGCATCGACCAGGTGCGCTCAGGCTATATCTAAAAACTTGTAATCAAGTTATTTGTGTTTTCTTGTTCTTTTCTTTTCAACTTAATCCTCTTGAAAATTAACCGATTTCAATATAATACTAAATATTATAATAAAGCATTAAATCGTAATATTGAAATCAGTAGGTATCTAATTGTCTGTCGGTCTTTCAAAATCAACAGCGTTAGAAGATAAGAAAACCTAGTTTTTGAAACATTTGAAATAATGTTAGCATTTAACCTGGAACAAGCGCTATTTGAAACCATTTTATTCAAATAATTTCATTGGATTCAATATAAGTTATCCATAAAACTTGATTACGTTTTGCTGGATATGTTTAATTAATATATTCCTTAAAAAGTAAAAAAAAAAACACAGAAAATATTGGAAAACCCTAAAAAAAGAAATATAGTACAACAAAAATTCGCGAAAAAAAAACAATAAAATTTAATAATGAAAAGCCACTAAAAAAATTAAAAAAAAAAATTAAAAAAAAAAATTCAAAATATGATAAAAAAAATAAAATGTTAAAAAAAGAAAAAAAAATGGACATAGATGTAGAAAAAAGAATGCTTTGAAACTTATTCGCTAAATGTGTGCGATAAATCAGTGAAGAATTTAACGCTCACTAAAGGAAAAGCAATTTTCGATTGTCGACACGTCGATTCATATATAATTTTACAAGTATTTGTGTTTTCACTATAGTTATGCTTTTCGAGAATTGACATGCATTTATTTCTGCTTGTTCTTCAAAAACCAGTTATTCCACACTCTTCTCCAAAACTATAAAACCGAAGTGGTTGGTTGTTCGAAACAAGAAAGACAATTAATTATGCACGCTGAAATATTGATTATTGTTTACGACTACCATCTATGTGGCAAAAAATACCCGCTAATTACATATATGTATTCCAATCCTTCAGTCAATATTTTCAAAATATTTTAAAGCGATACTTATCATTCATCTTGAAAATGTCTTATCTCAGGGAAATTTTAATCGCTCTATTCTAAATTGTCCGAATATATATCATGTTTTGCAAACATTCTGCCGGCAACGAAGACTTGTATTGAACAAGAAACTAATTCGAATTAAATATAAATAATCTTGTCTGATTCCAATCAAAGTACATACATTTTTACCGAAATCATTAATGACTTACCAAGAGAAGAGTAACTGGAAGCTGAACAGAACAATTAAAGCGAGAAATCAACATCTCTAATACGTATTTTATCACTAAGCATTGTTATTCAAAATATATCCCAATCTTTATTTTTTTGGAACTTTTTATTCAAACAAAACATTTTTCATGAAAATTACAGAGATAATATCATAATTGTAGTGTTTATCAATCTTGTGTTGTGTGTTTTACATTTAAAGCTCGTTAAATACCATTTAACTTACCAAATTTCCTCGAAGACAAAAGCAGTATGATAGTTTAGCATTTTGATTTTTTCTTATGTTGGCAATTGTTCAACGGTTTACACAATCAGAAGACGGTACTCGTGGTATGTAATGGGAATTTTTTGCGCCGATTTCCCATGCATTTCAACTCCACGTAACATCAATCTTCCAAGAACCGCTTTCCATCGTCAAGAAAAATAACATTCATTGGTTGATTTATTTATGTTTGTGTTTTTTTTTATTTCAATTTGTGTTGCATCAAACTAAACTCTTGAGCACTTTATTAGCAATAAATCATTTATGTTCAAAATAAGGCAGAGGTATATAAATTCACCAATTAAACTTGAATGTTTCCATTTTCACACAATACTTCTGTTTAATTTGAGCAATACACACACAATTATTTGGAGTCAATAGTGTCGATCTTAATATGTTGACCCATTGAATTATTGAACAAATGAAAAACTTTTTTAATTACAAGTCGAAATGTTCAGAATACCCTTTTTGACGGCTTTCATGTCGTGCTCCAAGTGCATGTGTTTGTAGTAATCATTGATGAAATACAGTGGTGTTTCTGATTTCTCAGAAATACATTTACCTGCCGGAACATTATTAGTGACTCATGGTGGAAGCTTCTTTTTCCAGCTGCTTATTGTGCAGAGCTTTTGACATCTAAGTTTTCTGATTTCTCTAAAATTGACACTTAAAATATTAAATGTTATTTTACACGATTATAAGAGAATTTAAAGAAGAGAAAGATAAACGTTCTTGTAAAATGAAGATTCTTTATGAAACTATCATCATAGACGTTTATTTGCTTTGATGGACTTTTTGGGATTTTTTTTCAACAAACAGATACGATTTTGGATGGAACCAGATTTGAATACAAAGCAAACATTACATGAAAATTGATATGCTTGTGTTTTTTCTTTTTTTTTCATCAATCGAATTCATATACAAGGAAATATGGATAGACTGTAAGAAATCATAATTTATATTTCGAGGAATAAAATTTATTCGCGAACAACAAAAGGTTTGGAAATGCTTCAAAAGCTTTACAATTTGTTGAAATATATACGGTGAGCTAAATTATTCAACAACTGAGCTGCTTCAAATAAAAAAATTCAGATTTCTTGCCAGTGGAATGATGAATTTGGAAAAAATGATCAGCTTTGCTGAATATTCAGAAAAAAAATTGTTTTTCAAAACCATCAGAGCTAAAGCAATCAGACCATTATTCGCATTGTAAGCAATCGAATAACAAACATATTTGAAAACTTGAAAAAAACGGGTTTTTCCACACAGATTACTAACATTTTATGATTTTTAAATTTTTTGTAATTCTTTATGAAGCTTAGTTCTCATTCGCTCATTTAAAGCACTTTGTGTGTATTGTGTCTGTTTATTGTTCTCCAAATTGGACATTCTATACGATAAGATGAAAAAAAACAAGCTAAAATGTATCCGAATTCAGCAACACTAAAATAAAAGTAAATGAAAGGAAGTAAAATGCATTTTTGACACTGAATATTGGAAATGTTTCAGGAAATATTCTATCCCTAGGACTAGTAAATACATCACTTATATTATGAATTACATTAAAAACTGCAAATTAAAATGCATAAAAATATGTGTTTAATTTCTTCATAGGTTTTTGTGCTGTTTATAAGAATTTGAAAATATTTTAAAGTATATTCTTTATTAAAATTCAAATCCAATATTTTCCTGTGAAAAACCGCTTTACCAAATTTCAAACTCATAAATATATGAATTTGATTTAATGAAGATACATCGGGATGTTTGAACATAAGTGGTTCGAAAGATATGACAGTAAGTATAATTTTCTGAATGGAAGGACTTTCTCCATCAAGCTGGTGACATCTGTACTACTATAGTATTACTACTGCTCGAAATTTGACTTTGATACGGCCACACTGAAAATATTTAAGTACACCGTTTGGTGAATGGCATTTTATGAATAAAAGACATGTCTTTCCATATATGAAATTCATTGGAAATGTGATAATCGGGATTGGAATATACTGAAATCATATGCTATTATTATAATATTTTAAGTGACAATCATATAAATAGACCACCTTGGAATGGAATAATTTTAAATTTGCTTTTCCAATCGTATATTGGTAGATAATTGCCGATTCGATTATGACAACTTTCAGTGAAAGTCATATATGGAAAAGAATTGTGAAATAAATACATCGTTTTTTTCCTTTGTTTGATCGTACGTTGTTTTATTTGCATCAATTGATGACTCTATACTAATTCATAGCCAAAATTCAAAATATTAATGAATACTTGTTTCTTTCTATAACACTCTGTTGTTCGGCTCGAAATAGTTGTTTCATTATCGGGTTACAAATACGTAGCAATTGTATAATTCGTTGTCGATAATATTCCAAAGATTTCTCTTCACCATGCCACATCCATTGTAGTGTTTCATCGCAAGTATTTTGCACCAGTTTGATTTCGTTGGCAGCAAGATTATGGCCGAAATGTTGTATTGTGTGATAAATTATGAAAATATATCGATGCAGGCATTGTCGAGCGGTTTTCATCTTTTCGCGATCATTCATTTTGTCAGTTGCCTGGTTTTCAAGGAGTTCCGAATACTGTTTACTAAATGATTCAATTCGATTCCGTAGGTTTTTCATTGAAGCGGATTTAGATGACATGATTTTTTTCACACTTATTCACTTTGTACTTGGAAAATTTATTTGATCATCCAGCAGCGGTACGCTTTTCGCCAGAAGAACATACGAAATTTCAGAATTTTTTCCAATATTATCATCGAAATAAACGAAATTCACACGTGTCGCACTTAATAAATTCCACTAGACTGAATTCACTAAAATATTTAACAAACGTACGGTATAACGTTATACCGCACACGCCGTTTCAATGTCTTAAAATGACTCGTTTCAATGCTAGCGTTCGCTATATGACTGAACTGTCAGTGACTTAAATAAACCAGTTTCGCTGATACAACATTCATTTTATAAGCGTAAATTCAGAGCGAGTCTGTTCACACAATGGGGTTAATATATACTTGAACATTTTTGTACTGTACATTTCAAAAGCGTTATGAAGATTACCGAGAAAACCCAGAACGTTTGGAAAATTCTTGTTCCATCTGAAAAAAATTTGCTGAAATTTGATAGAAAATACCCAAAAACTCTTCCGAATCTACTCTTCTTACCGATCAGCATTGATTTTATTTTCCGTATTTGTATTATGTTATGTACTGTTTTAGTGAAGTTACACACACCGGTATTTCGCATTTGATTATTGAATTCAAGCAATACAAATTTATTTTTATGACGCAGTAAATGACATTTTGACTTGATTTGTTCTTCGTTCACTGCGAAACCATCCGAAGTAATTGTCAGTGTGTGTATATTTTTCTCAAATTTATTCACTTCAAAGGGTGCTACCAAAGAAAATGTAAGTAAAGCGCTTGCAGCAAAAAAATATTTCAATGAATTGTTGGGTTTGATTTCGAGAATTTTACTGGCATGCACAAGTACTTAAAGAATACTTGCTGCAAGCGATTTACGATGCGAGTAAAACACCCAAATACATAGTTTTAACCCTCCATTCCACGCCATTAAAACGCACACGTGGTTGGTGTCTGGCTGGACCCCTATACATTTACATGCATTTGTATGGGAATAAGTGATACATGCCATCTTATTTTTCGCCGATAATAATAAGAGATAGCAAGTGATATGTATCTTTAGCAAAGCTGTGGAGCAGGTCAAGTACTACAATTTTGGTGAAGATATTATCTCCTGGTCTCTTATCAATTCCGCGAAAAACTATAAGAAAATATCCCGTTTCTTCGCGTAACTGATCAGAGATAATGGCTTGATGTCTTCGGTAAAGTTGTAATATTCGAGGTCTTCTACAACATTGCTGGGGACTGATATCTCTTATCTCTCATCAGTTACGCGAAATTATGTTGCGGATTTTCTTATCAGATGAAAATATAGTCAAAAACCATAATAAAAATCGGGTTGATATGTATTACACTGAATGCTTAATTCTGGTAAATATTGCTTTTTTAATGCATAAATCAATTTGTACTTTTTTCGTTGCTTAAATTCATTGTTGAAAGTAGCTGGTTCGAGGATTTTGTTGAAAATTTCCTAAAGTGCTTTATTGATGATATTTCTTAAGGTTTCGATTTACATGTAAAAATGCATTTTTATTGAATTTCATATGTGAAATGCTTTCATTGTTTTTATCGTGAGAGATTGCTGGAAAAACAAGTTGTTATTATTATTACTATTAAATTCATATTAAATTATAGCAAGTGTCGTGAAATCGGATCGGATCGAATTGTGAACTTTATAAGATTATTTCTGAAAATTCGTCGGGTGGATCTGGACTGATGAAAAAAATCTGTTTTATCAATCCTGGGTACAGACGTGTATTCGCAACGTAACACAAGACAAATAATAATTTATCAATCAAATTTGTTTCATCTGAATCGAATCATCTCGACGCATCTTCTTATTAATTTCGGTCTCTGTTTATGGTTTGCAGCGGCCGATGAATCGTGGGTATAAGCAAACTTCACGGATATGATAACGTTTTAGAAGCCAGCACAGGAAGCGTTCTAAGCCCAATCCATATCTAAAAAACAATACTCTTTGATCAGTGTTTCTTAGTAGTGTACTGGCGAATCAGCATTGACATACCCGCCATGTGGTTGACCTCCAAAAAGTCTTTGATCAGTGTACCAATAATATGGAGTTGGATCGATGCCCTCTCGTTTGTAGCCTGTAGTACCAATGTCAAATAAAATCAAATAAATACATATTATGAAAATCGTGTGAAAGATCATGTCGTGTATGTTACCTTCAAGCAATTCCTCGTTCTTATAAATCCTCATTGAACCGCCAATAATTTCACCAACACCTGGTAAAAGTACATCGACACTCTCAGTGAGTGAGGGATCTTCGGCTGTCTTTGACATATAGAATGATTTGATATTGGATGGGAAGCGACACAACATTATTGGGGTCTGTAAAAATAGTATTGAAATATGGTATTATTTTTACAGGATTTGTAATAAAGCAACGAATTGTATTACGTTGATTGTATCAGTCATGCGCCGCTCTGGAGCCTCTGGGATATCTTCACCATATTCGTAAAATGTTCCGTCGTCTTTCGTCACATTGTTCGCTTTCAGCCACTCAATGGCATCCCTATAGTTCATTCGTCGGAATGGCCGTTTTGGTGGTTCGAAATCCGGATTGAATTCTTTAACATAATGTCCAAAAGGCGATTTTAATACTCGGTCAACAACATCGCATACCAAATCTTCAAGTCTATCAAGCAATTCGTCAAACGTGATGAATGGACACTCGCCCTCAATATGGCTGTACTCGGCCAAGTGTCGACGAGTTCGACTTGCTTCAGCACGATAGCTTTGGGCAATGCAATAAACATCTCCCAAGGCTGGTAGGACTGTTTCTAAGTACAGTTGTGAGCTTTGTGTAAGATAAGCCTCCTCGCTACAATTTATAATAAAAGTTATCATTTGCTTATGATAATAATGAAATGAACTAATACTTAAATGATTTTCGTTTTCTTCCAGAAACTTACTCAAAATATTTCAATTTAAATAGAGTGGCTCCTCCTTCGACTTGAGTTTGCACCAAAGTGGGTGGTGTCACTTCGGTATAGCCCCGATCATAGTAATGAGAACGGAATGCATGCAAAACAACACTTCTCATTTTCAGTACTTTGGAAGCCGTTTCGCCACGAATCAAAATATGACGATTATCAAGTTGAACATCTGGATGGGACTCTTCATTTAGAATCGTGTCACTCCCGCCGGAGGGTGCCATTCCAATTACCTTATAGTAATCAACCTTTGAAATCAGAAAAACAAAAATCAATCTATTTATAATTTCAATTATTGCATTCGATAATAAATTAAAATGCCCTTCAGTACCTTTAGCTCATGTCCGTCTGGAGCTGGAAAACAAAAATCAATGTACTAGTATTTGTAATTTCAATTTCAAACACATTCGATAATAAATTAAAAAGACATTAGGTACCTGTCTTTCCCTCGGGAACTTCTTTTATTGTTCCATAGATTTCAATCGATGATTCCGTTGATAGCACCAAAGCATCATATGTTTGGCAAAGTAAATCAGTCAAAACGCACTGAATGTAACCAGTACCATCCCGAAGTGTAATGAACATTAAGGCCTTGCCTTGTCGACGAAGGCGATGAACCCATCCGTAGATTTTTATACGAATCTCGCGATTGGCAACTGATTCACGGATTTTTATAGATTTTGCTTGGGGCCATGCTGGATCTTCATTTATTTCAATTTTTCGTGCATCTTCGAGGTTTTGTTCACGTTTTTTAGCATCCTCTTCTTCGCGCTTTGATTTATCGGCATTTTTACTAACTTCACGAACCCATATTTTTTGAATTTTCTTCAATTGCGCTTTAGCAGCCGGCTCGAATGCACTTTCGGATGAGAAATCCTTTGCGTCTACATAGATTGTAGGAAAAGGCTCTTTTCCAGCGTGGCGCATAGCTTGTAATATAGTTTTGAATGGTGATGACTCAGTGCCACGGCCACTTTCATCATTTCCATTCTTTTCAGATGTAAAAATCGCGTCTATTCAGAACAATTTCACAAATGAAAACCAATATCATCATAAAAACCATAATATTAATTGAGAAATAAATTATACTCACCAAGCGATAGACTTGCTAAATTCTCAGCTGGCATTTTATTTCTTTTCTAACAATATGAATTGGTTTTGATGAGTGTAATATGAATTAAATCATGTATTAAATTGTTTTCAATAAATAAATATAGAGATGCTCGTTCAATTTATTTGATGGGAGGAAACTTTAATTGTGTCTGATGCAATCTGGTTCCACGTTTCTGAAAAGGTTTCTTTTTCTTATTTGACAGATTGATACAACCGATGATGTATTATAAAAACGGCTGCTGATGTGGCTGCGTACTTTTTTCACCCAAACTGTCAAAGTGACAGATTACGTTTGAATAATTCGTTTATCGCATTGACTTATCCATCGTGTTGAATAGGTAGCTGTTTTGGCATCTGTCAATTGTATTCTAGGTTTTGGAAGTAATAAATTATTTAATTCTTGGTTCTGTTTTGTTTGCAAATAGTCAACTCAATTTAACTTTTTGAGCCAAAAATGTGAATATATATTTGTTTATCGGTTAATTTGTTACAAATATCAAGAATTGATTTAGTTAGGAAAATAACAATTAAAAAATATATATCCACCTATCCTCTCTAACCTCATTCCTCCAGTTCGTATTTCGACATGAAACCTCATCTTAGATTTTTTCTATCATCTGTTGTCCATGTACATAACAAGAACAACACAACGTACTGTTTGCCTTTTTCTTCATTATAGAGTCGTTTTCGGAAGAAGAAAAAACAAACGAACAAAAGCTGAAACATGAACATTATTGACGCAGATTCACCACAATATAAAGTATTAGAAGCGTTGCAATGTTTGTGCAGCCAAAATGCAAACCTTTTAAAGCAAAACGAAACAAAATTGGCGGAATGGGAAACGCAGACCGGCTTTTATACAACCATTACACATATTATTTTTGCGTTTCAAAATGTTGAAACGAATGTTCGGTGGATGGCAACTGTCTACTTGAAAAATGGCGTCTTAAAATACTGGAGAAAAAACGCACCAAAGTAACAAATCTCTTACAAACTACCAAATTGAAATTTCAAGTGTGACTTGATCATTGATGATTTGTTTTAATTATAGCGCAATCTCTGATAGTGAGAAGAGAGATATAAAAGCTTTATTGCTATGTCAATCTTTCAAAGAGCCGGTTCCACAAATTGCAATCCAATTAGCTCTGCTTATTGGTAACATATCTAGAACTGACTATCCACATGACTGGAACGAGGTAAATGGAACAAAAATCTATATATATATCTGTATATTCAGATAAGTTCCCAAAATTAAAAAGCCATTTCTATTAAGTAGCTCATGCCACGATTGAACGAAGTGATTGGATCAACGGATTCACTACATCAGCATCGTGGCCTTTTGATTCTGCTGCAAGTAGTTAAAGTATTAGCGTCCAAGCGCCTGAGAAACGACCGTCGAATATTCAAGGTATTTTTTCACCTTTGCTTTTATGCTAACATTTGACCAACATTTTCAATATTCATCATAAATTTATATAGGAACTTAGCTATCAGTTATATTCCTGTGTTTTTCAATTGTGGAACCAATATACGCAGTCTTTCTTTCAAAGTCTCGATGAAAATACTACGTTGGATACAAATTATTCACACTTGGAGAAAGCACTCGTAACCCTACGAACTATGCGGAAGCTCACCATTTACGGTGTTACTGAGCCAACAAGTTTTGAACCATGCATGGTCTTCATGAACTCAATTATTCCATGCCTGAACAAAATCTTGGAGTATCGGTTCCGTTTGTTGGAAATGCAACAACAACAACGCATGAACAATAGCGCTGGAAATGTACCAATGTTGGGGCAGTTGATCGAATTGATTGAGAAATTCGTATTGAAATTTATGAAAATTTTGTACGAATATTTGGATATGCACACGAAATATTTCATCGACCTATTGCCAGCTTCATTAGAATTTGCCTTTAACTATGTATTTTATACGGGAACTCGTTTGATCTTTGACGCCAATAACCAAATAAATTTTCCAAATTTTGCAATTCATTGCATCAACCTGATGAAGCACATCGCCATGAAAACCTCCACTGAGGATGATGCTCCAATAAAAACCGACGCGAAAAATAAATTTTTCACGGTCGAAAGATTAAGTTATATCAGCGAGAAAATAATCACATACTATTTCTTGCTAACGCCCAAGGATCTTGTCCAATGGGATGACGACCCTGAGAATTATGCTTGCGATGAAGTGGGAGAATCATGGAACTACGATCTGCGCCCATGCACAGAATCGTTCTACCTTACACTTTTTAATCAATACAGACCCGATATGACAGTTGATTTGGTCAAATTGATACGCAAAGCACAGGAAAACACTTTGCATCAAGGCTCCGAGATGAAGGACATATTTCTTAAAGACGCCATTTACAAGGCAGCTGGACTATCGTCGTTCAACTTATTCGATGAGGTAATATTTAATGTTCATTATTTTCAAACTACAGTGGCAGTTTTTACTACGTTGCACTCTAAAAATCTTCAAGGTGCAATCTAGTCAAAATTCGCTACATTGCATCTAACAAGTGCCAACAACTATAGTACCTATTAATCAGTTATCTTTTTTTCCTATTCCGATATGTTCAAGATTAACTTCGATGAATGGTTCACTAATCAATTGCTACAAGAACTCACACTGTTAGTAAATGCAACAACTACATTCGTATTCATATATTCCTATCAAATGTGATCACATTCTGCTTACTAACTGCTTTTTGCACTTTTTAGTACAAGTGGAACTAATTTCCGTATAATTCGACGTCGTATAATTTGGTTGATTGGACAATGGACGAGTGTTAAATTTGATCAAAGTCTCCGACCAAAGGTAAATTTGTATTTTATTTCTAGCTCCGTGACGCTAGCCCAAAAATCTACAAACAGTATTGGGGGAGTCACACACAATCAGGAAGGGGTCCAGCGTCACGGAGCTTTTATTACTGGCTGAATATTATAAATTTGCAGGAAAAACGAATCCAATAGGATTTATGAAAAAAAATTGATCTTTTAAACGTACAATTTAGGGTTTTTGTGTCGACCGCAATGACTGCAAAATTCATCAATCAATTTATCAGAGAGGTGGTAAATTGAAGAGAAGTTTGACGTTAAATCTAAACATTTCCCTACTGGTAGTTTTGAATTTACGATTCACATCGAGACCGAAAGATACAGAAAATTCAAATTGAAATTGATTTACCTAAAGACATTGACAGTACTTATAGTTTCCATTATTTTATTTTTTTCGTTTATTGTACTTAAATAATTAATAGGTGTACGAAGTGTGTCTCCATTTACTACAGCCCAATGAAGATATATGCGTCCGTTTGTCCGCTACAAAGTGAGTCATTTCGTCATTTTAGCATTCAAAAAATTTACAATTTACAATGTACAATGTACATGCCTCGTGCAAGTATGTAAATATTTTCCATATATACTTTTAAAAAAGCAATAATTGTTTCTCGAATTATCAGAGCGCTTATGAGCACTTTAAGTGATTTCGAATTTGATTCTGCACAGTTCGAAGACTATGTGCAGCATACCTTTTCATCGTTGTTTACACTTCTAAGAGAAGCTAAAGAATGTGAAACCAAAATGGCAGGTGAGTTTTTTGTTCTTTTTCATCGATACTGGCATGTGGAATTAGAACCGTAATGGTTTTAAATAGTTTATTTAAGCGCACCTAATTCATTATTATGTATTTTCTTTCTTTCGTTTCTTCTCAGTGTTGAATGTGATGTCGGTCGTTGTGGATAAAATGGGAGATAAATTATCAAAAGACGCGGAAAGTCTATGCCATTATTTACCAATGCTCTGGAATGAAAGTCAAGATCACAATATGCTACGATGCGCCATTCTGTCAGCCTTAGTACGTTTTGCAAGTTTTCATCGTTTAGATATCATCTTTCGTGCGAATATAGTTCCAATTTCATTATTTTTCTCATTATTTCAGTTGCAAATTATCGTAGCCATTTCCGATATTCCTCCATTCCTAGCATCATTTCTCTATCCAGTAATTGCATTGAGTACGGACAAAGAAGAACCGTCGCATATATACTTTTTGGAAGATGCTTTAGAATTGTGGCTTGTTGTAGTTCAAAATAGTACTACATTGACGCCAGAACTATTACAGTTGAGTTCGAATTTATTGCCAGTCATTGGTAAGTACATACCTCCATACATTTAGAAGTTTATCTATATTTTCATAATGGCAAAATATGTAGTTTAATTTTTACCGACTTCCACAGAAAATTCCTCTGAATATATTCGGACAGTGTTCAGTATAATACAAGCTTATATATTATTGGATGCGGAGATCTATTTACAACATCATGGGAAAAAGATAGTAGAAACATGCATGTATTTGCTTACCGATTTACGGTCAGAAGGAATAGTGATGGTCATGCGTTTGCTCGAATCGATTTTGAGATCAACAGGAAGCTATGGGGTCGAACTAATAAGACCAGCACTTTCAAATATTTTCAAGTATATTTGATAGATTTCAAGTGGTTTTTCATTTGTATAACATTTTATCGCAATTCTACACTGTTACTACAGGAAAGTCAAGGAGGATGACGAATGGCAAATGGTAATGTCGTCATACCTATCTGTTATAGCTCGTGTCCTAATTCTGGATCAAATGGTGTTCATTCAAGAGTTAAACACAGCCACATCGTTTGAGACATTCACAATATTTGGAGAGCTTCTAGACATTTGGCTACGGAAAATGCCATTAATTGGACAACCAGATAAACGAAAACTTTTGAGTGAGTCAACACTACTAAAAGAAACTGAATTTTTTTTACACTCATAATGTTTCCTAAAATATATAGGTTTAGCTCTGGCTAGTCTACTTTCCATACAAGATGACATAATTTATCAACGCTTTGATGTCATAGTTCAGTGTATTTGTGAGACTTTGAACGATATTATGAAAGAAGATTTAGAAGATGATGCAAATAAACTAACTGAGTGAGTCAAAAATATGGATAGAGATAATAATAAGCATTTAATAAATTTATATTTTTGTGGTTTAGCTCATTAATTTTAACCGACGATACACCAATAGACGACGATGGTCTCTTCAAAATGGAACACATATTCTACAGTACACATCACTATGATCGATGTCGTGCGCTTTGTATGAAAGATCCTGTTCATACTGTGGTTTTGTTAAATTATTTTGAATCGCAGGTACGATTACTATATATATATCATATCATTTTATGCACATGGATTTCATTTATTTATTTATTTTTATCTTTTCTCCAGCTATATCAAGCAAAGTGTGCTTTGGGAAATGAACGTTTTACCGCACTAATTTCAACAATAGACGAGTCGATATTGAGAAATCTAGCCGAATACAATATCAACTTAGGCTGAATCCTGAAATTTTCTCTTTCAGATCATCACAGTCAAGAGAGTGTTATATTATAAGTTTCTCATGTGAAATGAGATATAAATTTTCGGATCTAAATCATATATATGATATATTTTTTTTCATAATAACTCATGGATTTTCCAATAAAAGTGAATACAAAATTAAAATGGAAAGAACGATGTTTATTTCTTTTGATAGTAAGCAAGGTCGATATCCCTCAATTCCGGTATACTTGATATGCTTCTTTCATACTTTTGACACATTTTCATTGAAGAATCTTTCAGAGAAACTGTTTGTATTTCAATGCGGCTCCAAATCAGATGCATCGTTAAAAAGTTCATATATTCGTTGTATCCTTTCTTCTGAAAACAAGTTTTTCTTTGATTACAGAATTTCGTTTCTGCTCCTTGAACACTTTTTGATGAAAACGTTAAAAACACTGTTATCTTTATCCTAATCCTAAAATTATTCAATCTTTTGAACAAAAACTTCTTTACTAGACAATAATGACATTTTTCTAACCATATTTTAGTAATATTTGAAAGTAAATATAAAATATCTTCGATTCAACTAACATAGTTGACTACATTAAGGTGGTTTTCATAACCTGAAAAAAAGAAATGGTAGACTTTAAATTAAAGAGGAAAAAATTCTGTATCAATTGGTGGTGTTCACACAACGGAGCAATCGATATTCACACTTCCGGCTGCTGATATGTCCAGATGCCAAAGTGATTTGAGCAACTTGCGTGATTGTGCAGCGTCTTCTGTTCCAGCGTTTTCAGCAGCATTTGGTTGCCAGGTTTTAAAGAAGCGTTGCTTCTTTGACACCAAACGTCCTGAATCTCGTTGGGTTAGAATGGCTGCAATAGCAGCACCTTGGTCGTGTATTTCCTCGCATGTACGCATGATTTCCCGTTGCATCTGCAACACTCGTTCGCTCACGTTCGTATAAATGCTTTCCGGAAGTCCAACACGTTCATCCGGTCAGCAGTCGTTGCACTTCTTGTATCGTTTGCTCTTCGTCCATATCGGGAACCATTTGAAGCATCGGGCACAATGTTGCGATGTCATGTATTCATCCACCAACCGAACGACACAATTGCCACATTTTTTGAAGGCTGCAATCAGCTGGACACCGCACGTAATTTTTGATTCGGATCGGGCAATTTGGTGAAATTTCGGCTGCTCCGATGTTGATGATAGCTGCATTGAAATGTACCAGCTTACCGGCGATGAGATCAATTGCACGACGCCATTCAATGTATTCGCATAGTTTTTCTGACTGTATGCCGCGATACCATCTTGGGACATTCACAGGCGATGTTCGATGTAATGGCGCCAAGAGATGTTCCGTGGCGATGGTGTCTGGCCAATCTCTGCGGCGATACGCTTGAGGTCCATTTGCTCGTCATACGTAAAGACTCGTGTCATTCATTCGGCTTTAATGTTGCGCGCATCCTGTTTCGATTTCTGATGGTATTGTTTGAACGAAATCTTCTCGTTGGTCTGAAAATAAAATGCAACAAAAGTGAATTAATACTTCTTCTTCTTCTTCTTCGTTTTTTCGTTTTGTAAATACTTACCCCTTCGCCGGTCTTTAGATCGAGGCGGACCGACGCAATAAAGGTTCGCATACCTGGATCAATTTTCAATGCATACACGAATTCGTTTGCGAAATATTTGCGTTTGGTTTCGGCCTCATCTTCATCAACAACGGTTTTGCTCTGCTTCGGCAATCTGAATAACACCGACGCTGACCATCTGATATTATCGAATCGCCGAATTCCTTCTTATTCTTGACTAACTTGTTGATTTCGTCCATGTTGAAATACGAACGCCAGCTTCCAATTCTTTTAAATTCAGTCTGTGAGATGTAGCGCTGTTGGACTTCGCCTTTCTTGTTGTCTCGAACACCATCTTCTCGCTTTATTGCTTTGACGCCCTTTAAAATATTGTACAATGCATCCGTATCAATTTTCACGTGTCGGCGCTGGAATGTGCACTTCGGAACGACTGTGAAGGTGGTGATTTCAGGCGGCTCTGGAAATTCTGGCTGTTGCACATAGAGCGGATATTTTCGGAACAGATTCCAACTTTGGCGTAGATTGGCAAACGACGAAACGAGGTGAAAGTAATGAATATCGCGCTGTATATTAATGAACATGCGCAATGCTTGGAACCAATTGAGTTCAACGAATTCTTTGATGTTGAATGGGTGTGGATCATCTGGTCTGTAAGGTGCTCCAATCCAATACAGTTCCCCCAACAGTATTTCCAATTTCCGTATGGCATTGGCATTGCCACGTGTTGAATCTCTTCGTTTGTATGTGAAGTTGATGGAATTTTTGATGACATTATCATCGAATAATTCGTCCAACTCGAGATCTCCACACAGACACATGTGGTTCAATTCGTAGCAACGCATTTTGAAGAACTTTTTCAAACGCTGTTCGCAATGCGTTTTGAGGTTGGTTTGCACGTTTTTCGCATATTGTTCGTACAGGTATTTGAATGTACTGCCGAAAAATCTGCCGAAAAATCTGTTCGTTGGCCATGGAAACCATTCGCCGATAATGTTGATAACCATTTGGCGGAAACCTGGGACTATAAACATACAACATTGGTGTAGTTTTGCCGGAGCACACCTTGGAAGCACATTTTGATGATTTCATCACCATTGCTGTTGAAAAAGTCGTTGTTGAAATCATCGACCGCCGTATTAACCTAACAAGAACAATGGTTTTTTTGGGATTGAATCAACAATTGCTCAAGTGGATCAAATCGTATTTGCATGGTCGCCAACAGATTGTCAAACTGAATAATGACATGTCGAGCCCCATTGATGTTACATCGGGAACAGGACAAGGATACCCGAATGGTGCTACATTGTTTTTACTGTTCATCATTGATTTGCCAAAACACGTTAGCAACTCAATTCTTCAGTCATTCGCTGATGACACTCGCCTGTGGAAGCACATCTGACCTAAATAGGCTTGTAGAATATTTCAAAAGAAATCAGCTAAAGTTGAATGTATCCAAGACCAAATTTGCGTCTTTTCATCGCGGGATCTTAGAATTTAACTTGGAATATTCCATTGGCAACGAAAAAATCGATCGGGTCCACGTGATAAAGGATCTAGGAGTAATACTTGACCATAAATTGAATTTTAATGCACACATTGAGTACATTACAGCCAAAGCGAAATCACGTTTAGCATGGATTAAACGGTTTGGATATGAATTTGATGATCCAAATTTGGAATCCATACACTGCTGAAAAGATTGCACGAATTGAATCGATCCAGAAGCAATTTTTATTGTTCGCACTACGCAAAATGAAATGACCACAAAGATTCAGGAAACCACCGTATGAATGCCGACTGCTTGAATTACAAATGATTACGCTGCACATCGAAATACATTTTGAGCAAAATTAATTTTAGAACACCGCGACATTGGACGAGAGACTCAGATTATCTGCTATTGCCGATGCATCGTAATAACTATGCCAAGTTTGAAACTATAAATTATATGCTGAGTACATACAACGAATTTTATAATTACTTCGTTCCGATCAAGCCACCTAATTTACCAAATGAATGTAATATTACTTTGATTCCGAGTTGTGATACTTATTTAATTGATTTCAATGCAAGTACAAATACTGTAAAACAGAGAGTAGCTGAATATTTCAAGAGAAACCGAATTTGGAGAAATTGAATTTAATTTAATATTGTATATATTGTAAATATACCAGAATATTTTTATTTATACTAAATAAACCACCTCTGGCGAAAAAACGCTGTATGGTGCAGAATAATAATAATAAAAAATACAGTTAATAAATTATTTACGCACTTTCTGATAAACAATAAACCAATTCACTATGTGGCTGCAACATTTTTACTCAACCAGTTTCAATGTGTCAATGCGCCAAATTTTATTTCGTGATGAAATTCACTTATCTGTCACTGGTGTTGATATAGAAACTCAATACATACTCGGATAACGGAATCAAATAAACAAACGCAACAAACATAACAATAACAAATGAGTCTTTTGTGTTGTGTTGCGTTGTATGCGATGAAAGAGAAGTTCGTGCCAAAATCACGCTCCTAATGTGAAACACATACACAAATCGAAGTTCTTGTTAGAAGTTTGTTTATACGGTTCGTTCGGCACATAGTAGTTGGAATGGTTGTCATTTCAAATGTTTGAATTTGGCAGATGCTGGGTAGCTTCCGAAAACATTAGACAGTTTTTAGCTTCGGGAAGTGTGACTATCGATTGCTGCGTTGTATGAACACTATTAATTGATACAGAAGTCTTTTCTCTTCAATTTAAAGTCTACCATTTCTCTTGTTCAGATTATGAAAAATACCCTAGTCTACATCCCACAAGAGTGATAGCTACTTACAGCATATGAATCTCATGTTTAGATAAAACAAAATCTCATTATACCATTTAAACCGTGATTATAACAATATAGTTATATATCTTGTTTTTTTATTTCAAACGTAACTCCAGTCGAAATTTTTTAAAGTAATGTCAAAGCGAAGGTCCTTTGCCATTGGATAGCTGCTTTGCGTCCCATATTGCTGAACCGACATTGATGCTATTGTCACTGCACCGCCAACTTTTCGATAAAGCGGAAGATCTGGATAACGTGCCAAGTAATGGGCTAACGCACCAACAAAGGCGTCACCAGCTCCCTAAAATGTACCAAATGTATGGTATAAGCAATAAATGGAATATATTCATGTTTTGAGACATAATTCAGACATACCGTTGTATCTAAAACCTCTTCAACGCGTGGTGCTCGAACGTGAATAGGTTTTGGTTCAGATAACGAAGCAAAGATTGCTCCTTCTTTCCCCAACGTTATAATGACGGTATTACATCCGAGACATAAAAAATTGCTAATCGCACGCTTTGCCTCTCTAAAAAATGTATTCATCGATTATATTTGAGGGAAAAGAATTATTTCAATTAAAAAAAAAACTAACTCAATATTCGGGACAGCTCGTTTGCTCATCGCTGCTGCTTCCACTTGATTGATACATAAAATCGTTGGCAATGTAAATAGTTCTAGTGTGTTTTCGCTTGGGGCTGGGGATGCGTTAAGTATAGATATACCGTTTTTGAACCGCCGAAGAGCTGCCAACGTAGCTGGTAGTGGTGTTTCTAATTGACAAATCAAAATTTTAGACGAGTCCAGAAGGTCCTGTGCCTTATCGATATCGGTGGGTGAGAGCACATCATTAGCGCCGGGTATGATAACAATTTGATTTTCCCCATTTTCAGCAACATTTATTTGTGCAATTCCGGTGCTTTTACCAGTTGTGGTCTCTATATAATTTGTGCCCACATTGAATTTTTCCAAATTTTCACGATATTTATCACCCCATTCGTCGTCTCCCAACTGAAAATCGGAAAGAAAGTTCTAATCCATATTTTAATCAGCACATATTTGAAAATAGAGTTTACCTTTGAGATAAGTACTGTTTTACTTCCCAACTTTGCGGCTGATACACACTTAAATAAGATGTTTGAAAATTTTATGCCTTGCGAAATACACTTCAACTGTTATTATTGTTACCTGGTTTGCACCCTTGCCTCCATACCCCGTTTGATATCGTGTTGCACGTAATGTTTCACCAACTGTTGGTAAATGCGGTACATAGCTATAATCGATAAGAAAAAAAGAAGAACTATTTTAGGTAAACATGGCAAAGACTTTGTTGTTTGTTGCAAATTGCATATGAGCCGTGTGTCATGTACAATATGATACATCACTAAACACACATACATACAATGAAGCTCATACAACGCATGAGCATGAAACCCGTTCTTCTTTTCTGTGATTGTGTTCAAAAAATTTTTAATATCATATTGTTTTCGGCTGTCTCTCAATGTTACATTGCATACCTCACACAATCAATAATACATGTTCCGAGCACTGTTATATCAGTTGATTTTTCGTCTTGACTGCTATTGGCAATCTCACCGGTAGAGCTCTGAAACAATATGCATTTTTGCCCTTTATTGTAGGAACTCAAACGATTATATCAAAGGAATTACTTTTATTTGAGACTTACATCTAAACCCATTTTCGAGTTGACTTTGTTGTATTTTTCTTTTTTTTATTGATATTACACAAGTACGGGCGAAACTCTTCAGATAAGATTAGCGATGTTTTGTTTTCGCACTTGTCATAAATCAATTCCACTAGAAGGTACAGTAGTCGCCAATGAGCACAGCAAAATTATTCTGTAGAAACGAATGGAATGAAAACGCTACATTGATACGATGGGTGTAAAATGTACAGATTATTTTTCTTGTCAAATGACCGACGAAAGTGAGCTTCACTAGAACTTGGCACACATAAATACAATTATCAACAGGAGGAACACATAAACATGAAGTTTTTTTTGCTAGTAGTGTTCAGAATGGAAGCAAACACATGTACAATTCACATACCATTCACAAGTAATACCGCTATTATTTGAGTCATTTCAGATTATTTAATACTAGGCTCGCCCGTGGTCAAAATTTGACCACAAAAAAAAAAAAATTACTATTAATATTTTATATAATCATAGCTTCTGCGACCGCACGCCGAGGGGGGGTTAATTTTCAAATTTCAATCAAAATGTAGGGTCCAATATAGCCAAAAAAAGAAGAAATTTACCGCTTTTATTTTGAACCCCATTTTTATTCATTTGTGTTCTCATTTCAAATGTTTTCCATAAAATTGAGGGGGTAAAATCTAATTTTTGTAAGGAAAATTGCGGAACAAATTCATTTCAAAATCAATTTTCTTAAGTATAAAAGATGAAAGAACATATGTATTGAGTTTATTTTGTATATTATTTGTATACACTTCAAAATTAGTTATGTGAAATATTATATCATTGTATGTGATTTCAAAATACTCAAGTTTAGTTTCTAACCAAGCAAGATAATCTAATACGACGTTTTTACAAAAACGATAATTTGGGCACGCACACAAAGAGGAGCAAAAAACGTTATTCATTGCAGTGCACACAAATCGAACTCTTTCTCAATACTCTCTCTCATTCAACTGTCTCAACAGTTTATATGCTGTACATTTCAGCGACCGAACTGAAACATTGTATATATCACTGCTGACAAAGTGTCAAGAGCAAATAAACAAAAAACGAAAACAAACAACGAAAGAATATTGCGAATTTCACGGCGAATATTTCAGAAAATAAATGGTGAAATTATTCAGTGAGTATGGAAACAAATTAATATTTCCTTCAACAAATCGAAAAATATGAAGTCATTTTTTTCGTTGTTCGTATCACGTGTTTTATTCACTTATTAGGCACGATGCAACGACCGATTGGAATTGTGTCAAAGAAATACGGTGTTTCCACTCGATTCACCAGCTACGTATTTTCAATCACAGACATGGACAAATGGGAGAGTGATGAACGCAAACTGATCGATGAAATGGAAAAACGAATCATTTTTCTCAAATTCACGGTCCGTGTTGCACCACTGTTGACACAACAACAAAATGAATTGGAAGTGCTTGCGCTGACAGAGCAAATGAGGGTTCCTTGCCACGTTGCTGGTATCACAATTGCAGCAGAAAGAACTTACGTTACACGACTGTCAAGAAGAGAAATGGTGGAATTTCTACAATGCGTATTGGGTGATCTGGATCACATCATCTACTTTTGGCTCCCATAGTCGCTCATTAACATTTCAAAATGAAACATCACAAAAAGTGAAATTATAATTCTTATTATTTCAATAAAAAAAATCATTCCATTTCCCAGACAAAACACATACAGTATTTCCACACTGTATCTCTATTTACGGCTCAATGAGAAGCATGTATTTGTTGTGGTTTTAAGTTTCGCTTTGTTCTATCTCCGCTCTTCTACATCACAGCACAACCACACAACAGCAAAACGAACAGCCGAACAAATAAATATGTACAGACATGTCTACTGTGTAATGCTGTTCTGCTATGCTACCGCATTCATTCTATAAGCTAAATCAAATACCATTTGGACCCACGAATATATAACGGAAGTGTGGCCGTATGGATAACGCATACGTTGAAATCAAAAGGTCTGAGGTTCGGAACACAGCTTAGGGAGTGGCGTGTGGAAGTTTTTTTTCCCTTTTTCCATTTGTTTTATTAAATAATAACAAAATTTAATTTTTTTCATAGAAAAACACCACAAAAAATTTTTCTTCAACAAAATTACAAAAGAATCAATCATTTCAGCGTATACAACCGCAAAAACATAGATTCCATTGAATTTCATTTTCAAAATAAAAAAAACGCAATTAAACCATTTCAAATAATGAAAAAAAAATTTAACATGGAAATATACACAAAATAGCAATACTCATTCAAAATAAACATAAAAAAATTTAAAAAAAAGAAAAAATAAGTTTTCGACCACATAATAAATCGAACCCAAGACCCTCAGAACAACACGCAAAAGACTTTCCCACACGGCCACACCGTTCATACAAACAATACAGCTCAAACCACACTTAACATGTACTGTATGCGTAGAACGATGTTTTCACAAAATGAGCAACTTCCACTCAACCGATTTGAACGGCATAGGTACCAATCGAAAGATAATCACGCGTATATGCGAATAAAGCCAAAAAACACTCACATACGACACATACAACCGGAGTTATGGCCGTTTGAGTGAATTCCCATACATTTTATATGGGGAAAACACATCATCACTCAAACGGCCATAACTCATGTCTGAAATGTCAAAAGTGAGTATTTTATGGCTTTCTGCACATCTACGCTCGGAGACCTTTCGAATGATACCTATCTCATCCAAATCGGTTGGGTATAAGTAGCTCAAAAGTGTACCACCAACTTCGCATTTGTAGATTAATATATAGATATTCGAATTGCGAAAAGTTTCTAAATATTGAACATTAATTTTTTGAGAAAAACATCTTCAATATTATATTTCAGTTTGACTTCTTCTCCAATTACTTTATTATACTTGTAGATAATATTGTGGTATGGTCTAATGAATGGCACACGTTGTGATTCATAAAAGATTATTACGATTATTTACAATGAAATTTTTTCAATTGCGTCCATAACAGCATCAAATCTTAAAAACTTACAATTTTTTCATGTAATTTTCTGCTGCACCAATCGCGTATGTCATTCGCACGAAGAGCAAGCTATAACTAATCTTATACTTGATTTTTGCACCTCACATGAATAAATGTTGTGTTAGTTAGTACAACAACTTACATACTGTATATGTATAATGTATAATCAACAAAGTGAATAACTCGAAAGATATTTTGTGATATATTTGTTGAATTTTTTTTGTTCAAATAGAATTGCAATTCTTCAAATGAATTTGTTTGAATGTATGTGGAATATATAGATAAAGACAGACTTTCAAACAAGTAAACATAAGACGTACACAAGAACTGTGTTTATGCAAATGAGATGAAATGCACGCTTATCACATTTGTTACCAACCATCTCGTCAGTTTCATCGTTTCACACTACAGTTGGTATTATTGATTTTCTATTTGAACGTTTTGTTTCACTTTCCTGACAGTTCCTCCGTTAAATGCAAACAGACAGATGGACAGACATACATTTACAATGAGCAGTGACATAACAAACGTTCAATTAAGTAACCATATTTATTTTTTTCCCTCAGAGTAGAAGTCAACAAATGATAGAGTTTCTACGAAAATTGTGAAAATCTGTGAAAAATATGTCGTCGCTCAAGTCAATTTCACAACTACGGTCGTTGCCAGTGAAACGGTTTTTCAGTCAAAAGTCACCGTCAGCTTCAAAACCAAAAAAAAACAATGAAATAAATGCCAACGTTCCTGGTTTGAGCTCGTATGTGATCAAACAAAAATCAGAACCATTGGGTCCGGGTGCTTCTTCAACAGGCATTTACAAAGTACCAGAATATTTTTCGTACGACCGTTTCTCTTACCATGGAGCTGAAATCGAGCTAAGCCGTTATAGATTGGAGCAACCATCTGCAACGAAAGGAAAAAAGTAGTGGAATAAATGGAAGATAGATGGAATAAATGTATTCACAAATAGTTTCGCAAATAAAATTTGAATCTTAAAAAAAAACATGTTTCTCAAATCGTTTACTCATATTCATGCTTAACAAGCATCGCTGAATTATTTTGTTTTAGGCTAAAACTACTTTCGAATCAGTCAAACACTACAAAAATACTGATGCCAAATTTGAATTAAAGTAAATTCGATTTTGTTAGTTTGGAACTGTTGAAAAAAGTTTATTTTTTCATTTTTGTAATTTAGCTCGCAGAATTTTCAACATCTTTGCATACGGTCGACACTGAATGAATTGAAATTACAAACAAATTAAATAGATAAATGTGTCAGCTTTTTCTACTGTTCAAATTCACTTTTCGCTTACTATATTGCAATGCACAATTTAGTACTTGTGAAAAAAGACCAAGTATATAATTCGAATTTTTCGACTCACCGAATCTAACGCAGCAAGCGAGTCTATTATCCAGAATTTGCAAAACCGTTTACAAAGAAGCAGCATCAAAAGAAATCTTATAATGTCTTTACGCTACTAATTTTTTTCATCAAGCTGATCTTTGAATAAAAGCAGAAAAATTCTGATCTGTCTGACTGCAAGAAAGTAGAGGAGACGCCAGGACAAACAAAAAAGGATTCATACATTTGCACACATTGACTACGGATATACACATAGCGTTTCATATGCGTTTGCATATATTTTTTGCATACTGTATGCAATACTATCATAATTATAAGTAAGACATACAGTATGCAGAATGTGTATGCGAACGCATAGCGAATGAAGTTCTATTGTAGCATTTTGTGTGTAAAAATTGAGAAAAGATACTTGGTGTTGTAGACGGATCGTCATTATTATTGTAATTGTACGACCCGTTTACTCATTATTTCTCCAACGGTGTCGCATGCTCATGCTCACCGCATCTCACGATGCGCATGCGACACCTGCTATATGCAATTATGAAATGAGAAGACAAATTCGAAAATTCTTATTAAACTGTCGATTGAATGCAAAAAGCAATTATTTCGAATTAAAAATCACAATTGAAATTATTGTTTACGTGGCAAAATCATCTCGAAATTCTATGCTCTATACAACTCTCACCTCTTTGCTTTCCAATACACAAATGACACATCAACCGGCTAACATAATTTGCCAAGCAAATATCAAAATGTCATGCCGATGTTGCCCATCACAGAAATTCCAATACACCAAAGAACGTAAACAGATCGGACTACAGATTTCTCTGAATCAGCAAAACTCAGCACCAAATAAGATGCAACACACACACTCGTCGTTCCAGTGGATTGTGTGTGGCAAATATTCGGTTTGGAAATCTGATGCCGTTTGTAAACAAATATGAAACTGTCAACTTTGAAGCGGCCAATTCAAATGTAAATATTCGCCGCACTCAATTCACATTAATACACACACATAGCAATAGAGAACAAAAAAAAATTCAACTTTTAAAAATTTAATTCGATTGCATTTTTTCGTTACTTGTTGCACTTCGAATCACATCCAGGCTTATATTAATTTTTATTCTTAAATATTGACTACACCTTAAAATAAAAGTGCAATCTCATAAAGATAAAATAAAAGATACAACAAATGGCTGTTTTGTGGTATTAAAATTAGTTGTTCGGGAATGGACACGAATACGTACCATATACAACATATGGAAAGTATATGTTTAAAACTATATAATGTGTCATTTAATTAATTATTCAAAATTAGATGGGTGTTGTTTGTCAACAAAAGTAGCAAAACATGAAATGGATGGATAGATAGATAGATTCAAAAGGGGATTCGATCAAAATACATGTAAAATATGTAACAATCTATGTAAATCAAGTGGTGGATGTTCAAGTCTTTTCAACGGATGTTCGACTTTCTCGTTTAAATGTCAGTTAATGGATAATCATCATGCTGCAATTAATCAAACTAAATAAGTTGAAAATAAAGGATGAATGTTGGTCATATGACTGGTGTCGTACAAAAAATATCTTAACCTGTTTAATGGATTGTTTACCTATTTGTGAGTATAAGTTCATTCTTAAATTTAATATAAATTTTTAAAAATAAACATCAAAGCGTAGTTGTTTTACTACAATAAAAACATTTCAATTCATTTCAAACTTGAAATTTAAGTATCTATAAATCCTAAAAACTTACTACATTCTGAATATGATATTTGACAATGATTCCCATTTGGGTGCATAATGAAAACATTTCAAATTAAACTCGAAATGAAACTAAATATAACGAATTGAAAACCAAAATTTCAATTGTATTTTGTGAATTTTTCAAAAGCTCTTTAATTTCGTACCGATAACATTTTCAATTCGTTATTTGCATTATTAATTATATCATCGGCACGGACATGTCCTATAGATTTGTTGCGTTTACTTAATGCAACATATTATATTATAGCTATTTTGTATTGAATTCATGTCACAGACCAATGAAGATTGATTATGAAAAAACTGAACTTGCGAGATGACCGACAGAAATATTCAAATTCACAGTTTACTATTATCGATCCGCAAACTTCCACTAGAAATTTCAACAGAATAACGGTCAGTAATGCGAAAAATGCTCATTCCGTATGAAGAAATTAGGTGATTTATCTAGACCCAAATTGTGATGTTTCTGATGATTTAGTATTGGCAATGTTGTGGATGTGTTTTGATTGTTGCTAGAACCTAGGCCACCGCGCAAAAGATGTAAATAGTTGTCATCACCAATTGGAGCCTGTCGACTACCGTATTTCATTTCACGATCGACAAGTGCCCGATATGTTAAGTGAACTTGTTGCAGTTTAACTGCTGTGTCAATCATTGCCTTTACATTTTTATGGAGCTGTATTACATCTTCTGGTGAAATGACTTCTTTGCTATAAACGCTATTTGGTTCCGTAAATAATTTTAATTCGTCTAAATTATTTATGATTAACGTATTTAAGCGTTGTAAGTCGCGTGCTGGATCCAATGTAGTAGCTAAACCCATTTGAAATGGTGATGGCGAAACTGTTTGACATCCTTTCGCATATTGATCGCGTTCTTTACAACTAATAAATGGAAAAAAAAAATTAAAACTAGTAATTTAAAGTAATCGAAAAATCATTTCTTTCATAATCGGAACACATACCACGTCCACGCTCCACTTATGAAGGCTGATGGATGGAAACTTTCGAGTCGCGCTGCATTGCTTTGACATATTTTGCTTAGAAGATCCACCCATTCCTTCTCTTCAACACAGTTTGAAGTTTTCACATAAAGCGTCCGATCCTTCCGGATAATCTGAAGGTAAAACATGACTTTAGTCTAAAGGGTGTTTTTTTTAAATCCGTTTTTTTGATATTGAAATAAAACACACAAAAATTCTTTGACAACAATTGCTGTTGGTTTCTTTTTGTAGCGTATGGTATGCCATTTAATGTCCAACATGCAGTTCAGGGATATGACCACCACCCCTCCTTTTTTACCCACCTTTCTTGACAGACCATTTTTGAGGATTTTGAGGTCACACTCCCATAATTTTATGAGTTTTGTTGAACTTTAAAGCGTAAATAGTTTCATTTTCATCTGAGTAAACAAAAGAATTCATGTATCCCCACGGGGGAGTAGCCCATAGCCGTAAAATAGGGTCATTTTGTTGGATGATGTACAGAATGCATATTCGAAATTTTGGGAAAAAAAACTTGCACGAGACAGTTTCTCCAGTAAATTGATTTTTTTGCTCAAAATATGCTATGATATGGACATTTTATTAAATCCGGTGATCATCCAGACCAATTTTGTCAAAAACAGTGGAAAATTTGTTTTTGGGTATTGCCCAAATGGCTGAGAATAGAGGCTGCTCGATGAAACCAGATTACTGCCCAAAAACAGATTTTGTCACTCTGTACTAATGAGTTTTGGGCTAATTCGTATTTATTTTGTTATTTCATGGAAGTTTTGGCCAAAACCCGTCCATATTTTGAGCAAAAATAACTTTTCTGGTCAATTATAAGCAGAAAAGAGAAAAAAAAATAAGGTCGAAAAATTTTGTGTCGGGAAGACCTCCCAAAAAGGAGGGGTGGTGGTCATATCCCTGAACTGGATGTCGGACATTAAATGGCATACCATACGCTACAAAAACAAACCAACAGCAATTGTTGTCAAAGAATTTTTGTGTGTTTTATTTCAATATAAAAAAAAACGGATTTAAAAAAAAACACCCTTTATGAATTTTTCTAAAAATCTAATTGTAATTTTTTACCTGAAATATGTTTTGTAATTTGAAACTTCGTTCATTGAGCCTTTCAACAGCTAATATCTCAGATAAAGGTATATCACAGATTGGATTTTTGCCTTTTGATTTGGCATAGCTCAATGATTGAGTGGTCAGACGAAAGTAACGCTGTCTAAAATTACGTCGACCAAATCGTCTTCGTCCTTGAGATCGTTTTGTCATCATCCTGTCGAAGGGAAATAGTTTTTTTTCAGAATTTCGTTAAATGCATTATATTTAATAGGGTGGTTTTTTTTCGGACTTTTTCGAATTTCACATGCGGCAGTA